AGTGTCTGATCCTGCCTTTAATCTCAGAATGTCGTGACAGCCTTAGCTAATGGGGAGGCAGCATATCGAAGGCTCCTGCTAGTCTCAGTTTCTCAGGGGAGCCAGCGGAGAAAGAGACACTGGATGAGCTCTGAGGAGAATGGGAAAGTCTGGGCCAAGCACTTCAGGAAATGGCAACTCTAATTCTATTATAAATAAACTCCCCTAACCTTTCACTTTTTTCCAAGGCATCCCTCCACTTGTGCTGTGGTTGCTGTAGCAAACTTGGCTGTCCACCAGGTCAGTGGCTTCAGTTGGAGCTATTTGGCAGAGGCTTTTCCTGCTCCCAGACCAGAGACCACAGGGACGCTGCCACCCTGGGCCGCTGTAATTCTAGTCTCAGCAGACACCTCCCCGCCTCAGGCTTGCTCTAGGTTCACATCAGCATCTTGCCCAATCTCCCTAACATTTCCACTATTCAGACATCCCAGTCACTCACAGAACTAGAGATACCAATCACAGCACCTGCTGGCCTCACCCTGTAAGGAAACTGCTTGAATCCATAGACTCTGGTGTCTACAGCAGCCGTGCTCCAGGCCTTAGCCCACCGCTGCCACCACAGCTGTAGGGGGTGAGCGCAACTGCCTCAAAGAGTTGGGAAGGCACAGTGGAAGGATTGTGAAGAAAGTCAGGATTAGAGAGACGGGTTTGAGTGAGGAGCGATAATACAAGTGAAATGGCAGTGGCAGCTAACCCATGAGTTCTGAGTGCGTGTCAGACGCTGTCCTGAGTACTTCACATGCGTTCTCTCACTTAATTCTTGGTACCTCAGCAAGGTAGGAGATAACTCCTCTCATGACATTCTGAAGATGAAGAGACGGAGACTGGTGCTGTTACATCCCTTCCCCGGTCTCACACGGCTAGTGAGTGACAGATCTGGTTTTAGAACCCAGGTGTGGCTGGCGCCGCAGCTCACTAGGCTAACCCTCCGCCTTGCAGCGCCGGCACACCGGGTTCTAGTCCCGGTCGGGGTGCCGGATTCTGTCCCGGTTGCCCCTCTTCCAGGCCAGCTCTCTGCTGTGGCCAAGGAGTGCAGTGGAGGGTGGCCCAAGTGCTTGGGCCCTGCACCCCATGGGAGACCAGGATAAGTACCCGGCTCCTGCCATCGGATCAGCGTGGTGCGCCGGCCGCAGAGGCCATTGGAGGGTGAACCAACGGCAAAGGAAGACCTTTCTCTCTGTCTCTCTCTCACTGTCCACTCTGCCTGTCAAAAAAAAAAAAAAAAAAAAAAAAAAAGAACCCAGGTGTCCTGGTTCCAGGCCCTTAACCTCTCTGCTGTGCTGCCTCCCAGGCAACACAAGATGTAACGGCCCTGGGAATACACAGTGGTGCTTGAGGAGCTTGCATCTAGAGTCTAGGTTGACAGAGACAAGAGGCACATTGGCCTTAACCATCCTGCGGATCCTCCTCAGATATGGCTGAGTTCTCCATGGTGACAAGGGTTCAGGACAGGTAGTTTGTGCCTTGGGCAGGTTATTGCTACGTTTGCCCAAGGCACAGACAGAACTTGGTTGATGGTTTGGGGCAAGGTGGGGAGGACCTCACTCAGTGGGGTAGGCAGTGATACATTGAAGGTATGGCTGGAGGTATCTGCCTGATGAAGTGTGTCTAGGCCCTTAGAAGGACCTTCCCAGTCTTGTCTTATCTTTTTCTTTCTTTTTAAGATTTACATATTGGAGCCAGCACTATGGTGTAGTAGGTTAAACCTCCACCTCTGGTACCAGAATCCCATATGGGCACTGGTTAGTGTCCTGGCCGCCCCACTTCTGATCCAGCTCTCTGCTTATGGCCTGAGAAAGCAGTGGAAGTTGGCCAAGGTGCTTGGATCCCTGCACCCACGTGGGAGACCAAGAAGAAACTCTTGGCTCCTGGCTTCAGATCAGCCCAACTTCAGCCGTTGTGGTCATTTGGGGAGTGAGCCAGCAGATGGAAGACCTCTTTCTGTCTCTTCCTCTCTCTCTCTGTAACTCTGCCTCTCGAATAAATAAATAAATAAATCTTTAAAAGGTAATAAATCTTTGGGCTGGTGCTGTGGTGTAGCGGGTAAGGTCGCGCTTGCAGTGCCGGCATCCCATATGGGCACTGGTTCGAGTCCCGGCTGCTCCACTTCTGATTCAGCTCTCTGCTACAGCCTGGGAAAGCAGTGGAGGATGGCCCAAGTCTTTGGGTCCATGCACCCATTTGGGAGACCCGGAAGAAGCTCCTGGCTCCTGGCTTCGGATCGGCACAGCTCCAGCCAGTGCGGCCATCTGGAGAGTGAACCAGCAGGTGGAAGACCTCTCTCTCTGCCTCTCCTTCTCTCTCTGTGTAACTCTGACTTTCAAGTAAATAAATAAATCTTTAAAAAAAGTAATAAATCTTAAAAAAGGATTTATTTATTTATTTAAAAGGCATAGTTACAAAGAAAGAGAGAATGAGAGACAGAGAAAAATCTTCCATCTGCTGGTTCCAGGCACATTAGCAGGGAGTTGGATTGGAAGTTGAGCAACCAGGACTCAAACTAGTGTATATATGGGATTTAGGCATCACAGGTCGTGACTTAACTCTCTGCACCACAATGCTGGCACCCTTCCCAGTTTTTTCTACCATTCCATCGAAACAGAGACTCACTTGTTCTAGTATAGGAATGTTCTAACTTGTAGAGAAAGTTTTAAATCTCTATAGAATTTATTTCCCTTCAAATTGACCTATTGCTAATAGTAAATTATGTTCATAGCTATTTGTACAAAAGTGACTTAAGGCCAGTCGTAACAGGATTTTATGTAATATATTAGAATAGGTCATTTTTGTACAAGAAAAATATAATAAATTCCCATTATAAATTTGAACTGGCTAAATTTGACTAATCTTAGTTTTACAGTATAGTATTTATATATATTACATAAATCAGCTTTTACTAAAGTCACCAAAAATTTTAATAAATTAAAGAATTACCAAAATGAAATCATAGTAGGAGGAAAAACATAGCTATAGTAGAGAAGATGGAATGTAGAATTTCTTAATCAGGAAAAATATTGTTCTTTCATTCATCAAATGGTTATTCATCTCCCATAAAGGCCGCCTGTGGGGCTAGACCCTGGGGACACAGCTCAGGTACATCAGACAGGGTTCTTTCTGTGAGACCTTGGGCAGTATAGCAGGGAAGATGGAGCGTCAACCAGCAATCGTACAGACCAATGCGATTGCACACTGAGGCCTGGTATAATGGGAAATCATAGTGTTTCATAAAAACTTGCAATGAGAGACCTGATCTAGTCTCTGGAGTCAGGCATTTTCCCTGAGGAAGCTGAGGAAGAGTGGAATTAACCAGGGGTAGGGCGTGGGGGGTCTTCCAGGTGTAGCTATCACGTGCAAAGGTCTCAAAGCAAGGAGGTGCTTGTGGCGGGGCCCATCGTCTCCTGACAGCACGAGCGTGTCCCTCTGTCGGGACCGTATGGTGATCTATCCTGCTGCCCGGTCTTTGTGAGACTGTGAGCTCCAGCAGGGGTTTGTTCCTCATCTTCCTGTCCCAGAATAGTCTTGCATTTCTGGGAATACAGACATGAATACAAACTACATCTGATGAACACACACTTCCAGCTCAAGAGGTTGGCCTTTCCAATGGACACATAGAGACTGAGTGATTACCGATATTAGACAGCCAGACTATTAAGCTAGCATAAAAGAATGCAGTATGACCGACAGCATATTTTGTGCACACTGAGAAGCACATTTTCTGCATTATGATTTTTTGAATCTATAAGTCTATAATTTATATCATCAAACAGCCACTCTACATAGTAAAGAGTTTGAATATAAAAATTGCTTGAGGGGGCTGGCATTGTGGCATAGCAGGGAAAGCTGCTGCCTGAGATGCTGGCTTCCCTTTTGGTGCCACTTCGGGTCCTGCCTGCTCTACTTCTGATCCAGCTCCCTGCTAATGTGCTGGGGAAGCAGTGGAGGATGATTCAGGTGCTTGGGCCCCTGCACCCACATGGGAGATCTGGAAGAAAGTCCTGGCTCCTGGCTTCAACCTGGCCTAACCCCAGCCATTGCAGCCATTTGGGGAATGAACCAGCAGATGGAAGATATCTCTCTCTCTCTCTCTGTAACTCTGCCTTTTTAATTTAAAAAAAAAAAAAAAAGCAAAAAATTTTAAAAAAACCCTTTATTTGCAAGGATGATTTCTGTAGTCATCTTCATTTTCCACATTGATAAAGCTAGGCATTTAATAATTTGTGGCTGTATGCTGCATTCTCTTTCCTTGGTATGAGCTGAAGCAGAAGGTCTAGCTTAAACCTCTAACTGTGATTCAACCTTGTTTAAACACTGTTGAGAACTCTTCCTGGGGCCTGTACCATGGCGTAGCAAATAAAGCTGCTGCCTGCAGTGCTGGCATCCCATGTGGGCACCAGTTCGAGTCCCAGATGCTCTCTTTGGCCTGGGAAAGCAGTGGAAGATGGCCCAAGTGCTTGGGCCCCTGCACCCCCGTGGGAGATCTGGAGGAAGTTCCTGGCTCCTGGATTCTGATCAGCCCAGCTCCAGCTATTGTGGCCATTTGGGGAGTGAAGCAAAGGATGGAGAACCTCTCTCTCTCCCCCTCTCTCCCTCTCTCCCTCATGTCCTCCCTCCCTCTCTGCCTCTGCCTCTGCCTCTCTGTAATTCTGACTTTCAAGTAAATAAATAAATCTTAAAAAAAAAAAAGTCTTCCCAATATTCAGCATTGAGCTACCATTTTTTATTTTTAAATTATTTGACTCTAAGCATTCTTTTCTTCCTACCATGGCTGTATATGTTTTAATGGTATATGTTTCCTCAAGTCAATAGGTGTAACTTTTTTTAAAGAATTGATTTGTTATACAAGTTTCACATATTTCATATATAGAGATTTAAGAACATAGTGATATTTCCCCTCCTACCCTGCCTCCCACCCAAATAGGTGGATTTTAGAACCTGTGCTATTCCTGTACTCTCTTCCCTAGGCTCCACTGAACGACCCCTGTGCATGTGCCTCCTTCATGGGTTTGAAGCCTTCCACCAGTAAATACCACCTCGTTCGAGCAATATTGGAGTCAATAGCTTTCAGGTACCAAAACCTACCCCAAACTGCCCCTCCTCGCTGTATTGCTCTTTCCTTTATTAATTTGTTACTAAAATTAAAAAAAGTGATAATATTAAAATTTTTAGATTTATACTTTTGGTTTCCTATATACTGTAAATTATATAATTGATTATTGTTGTTAATGTCCTTGTTATCTCTTATTTTTTCATATGTAGTACAAGAACCACTTAAGTTTGTTTTATGAAAATTGAATCATTAAAAAATCCAATTTCTTAAGCCTAAAAATTCAAAATTTGAACTTTCAAGGGTTTCATGACTTTATTCATGAAGGATAATTCAAACCAATAATTCTTCTGTTATACCAAAGATTGATTCTTCAGAATTGTTCTTTATATATATTTCTCTGTGTTTTTTTAAATTATGGGACAAGTATAGCTTATTAAAATTAAGAATGCAGTTTTCATGAATATGGAATGTTTGTAATGTTTACAATTTTCTGACTAAAATAATTTTTATATTTGGTATATTCTTAGGTGTTTATTGTATATAATCTTAATAGCTATCTACTAAGTAGGTGCTTTCTTTAAATTTTTCTTTTTTAAAATAGTAATAGAGTAAATTCAGTTGTGACGTAGAAGTTATGCTGTATTGTATGAAAGCAAAATCACAATGAATTGAGCTTCTTGCATAGTTGAGCAATTGCTAGGTATTTTCTAGTTAGTATAATACATTTCTTTAATATTTTCTTTTATGTGTTTTATAAATATCAAGTAAATAAAGCATAGTTTTATATTTTGAGGCTAGAATAGATTATTGTGCTATGAATTTCTTCTAAATACTATCTTGTCCCTTAATTAGAAACAAACAATTATATGAGACGATGCAGAAAGAGATTCATATTCCTGTAACAAAAATCCGGTATGTAAAGTTTGTTTCTACCAGACTTAACTAGAAATTAGAAGTGATACAGGCATGGAAAGCCACGGCACGGTGGCAAGAACAACCTAAATGAAAGAGCATGGTGAACAAGACCCCAGCAGAAGGAACAGGCCGTCAAGGAGGGAGGCGCCTTTCTCCGAAGGGAGGAAGGAGCCCCCACTGTGATATGGCCTTGACTAAACAAGTTCAGAGTTGGTGAACTCAAGGGGCTTCCGTAGCCTAGACAGCTCATGGCAAGAGCCTCGGGTGATTGCTGACGTCATAAATAAAGAGTGCCAATTGTTAAATCAACAACGGGAGTCACTGGGTACATGCTCCCCACGTAGGATCTCTGTCCTTAATGTGTTTTACTATGAAACTTAAAGACAACACTACTAGTCGAACAATACCCTATACCTTGTGAGGTTGTGTGAGTACAGCCTGTTGAAATCCTTGCTTAGTGTGTACTAAGTTGATCTTCTGTATACGAAGGTAATTGAAAATGAAACTCGATGAAGGGCAGGATGGGAGAGGGAATGGGAGAGGGGAGGGCCGCGGGAGGGAGGGAGGTTGTGGGGGGGAGCCACAACAATACAAAAGTTGCATTTTGTAAATTCACATTTATTAAATAAAAAAAAATAATAAAAAAGAAGTGATAGCTGCTATTAATATTTTCCTCATTATAATTACTCAGAATTTCAAAAAGAACTTATACTCAGCTCCTTTGCATTATAATTCTTGCATATAAGGAATTTGAAGAGAAAGGAAATTTAATTTCAGATTTATGGAGAATAAAACACAATATGAAATTTGGAAGGCTCTCAGTACCCATATTAGTGTTATAAAAATCTTTTTTGAGTGTGTAGGTATCCTATTGACATGGAAACATTAAATTTCTTGGCTTTCTTTTCTGTATGTCCAAATGCACTTTTATGTTAGATTAGTTTGTTACACTTAGCCTATTTTAAGTTAGTACCAAGACAAACAGGACAGGTGGAAAAATAATGGGAGGAATAAGGAAAACAGATTCTAGATGACCTAGATGGGTCCTCTGTAGTTAGGTCAATGACAGGGGATATAATTTGCAATTAAAAAGTTAAACATAGGGGCCTGTGCTGTAGTGTAGTAGGTTAAGCATCCACCTGTGATGCCGGCATCCTACATGGGTGCCAATTCAATTCCTGGCTGCTCCACACCAATCTAGCTCCCTGCTGATGGCCTGAGAAAGCAACAGAAGATGGCCCAAGTGCTTGGGCCCTGACACCCATGTAGGAGACGTGGAAGAATGTCCTGGCTCCTAGCTTCAGATCGGCGGAACTCCAGCCATTGCGGTCATTTAGGGAGTGAACCAGCAGATGGAAGACCATTCTCTCTGTCTCTCCATCTCTCTCTAACTCTGCCTCTCAAGTAAATAAATAAATCTTTTTAAAAAGTTAAACATAAAGCCAAATCAAATATTTAAGAAAATTATATGACCCAATTAAGAAGAATTCATGATGTTTTTGTCTCACATGTCTTGCTCCCTGCAGGGCAGACGGAGGAGTCTGTAAGAACAATTTTGTCATGCAGATGACTTCAGACTTGATTAATGAGAACATAGAGAGACCTGACCACTTTGACATGTCCTGCCTAGGTGCGGCATCTCTAGCAGGCCTTGCTGTTGGTATGTCTGAATTTTATAAAAACAAGGGCTTTCCTGCAAACTCTTTCTTATATATGTATATAAATCACTAAGTGGTGGAGAGGCTCTTGCAGGTCTCCACTGGGCTCCAACACCTATGCACACTGCTCACAAAATATCCTGTGGCCCGCTCTGCTGCTTGGTCTGGTTGTTCCTCGTCCAGCCTCACTTCACTCCTTCAGTCAGAAGAAGTACGAGGCAAGAGCAATCTGCAGCTGCTTTGGGGTCCAGGGAGGGAGGGTCTTTGGGGAGTCCTAAAGCAAAAAAAGTATCAGTGGCGCTTGTTAAAGGATGGTAAGATGAACTTTGTCCAAGGGGATTATCAAGACAAGTAGAGGGACTGCTGCAGTGGGATGTAGTGGGGAGGGAGGCATAACTTTGAGTGCAACAAGGAAAGGTGGGAACTTATATCCAACGAGGAGGTTGGTAGGTGGTGTAGGAGTGAGAGAACTTTCCCTTTTCCCTTTGGAGGTTCGATATTTGAGTCTGAAAAAAAAATACTATCAGCAGACAGATTAACAGGAAGACAGGCATACAAATTCATTATGTGCATGGTTGCATCACAGGATAGTGAGTTGCCAGTAATCCAGTGCAAGTCAAAAGCATATAGGCTGGCGCCGCGGCTCACTAGGCTAATCCTCTGCCTGTGGCGCCGGCACACCGGGTTCTAGTCCCAGTCGGGGCGCCGGATTCTTTCCCGGTTGCCCCTCTTCCAGGCCAGCTCTCTGCTGTGGCCCGGGAGTGCAGTGGAGGATGGCCCAAGTGCTTGGGCCCTGCACCCCATAGGAGACCAGAAGAAGCACCTGGCTCCTGCGTTCGGATCAGCGCGGTGCACCGGCCGCAGCGTGCTGGCCGTGGCAGCCATTGGAGGGTGAACCAACAGCAAAGGAAGACCTTTCTCTCTGTCTCTCTTACTATCCACTCTGCCTGTCAAAAAAAAAAAAAAAAAAAAAAAAAAAAAGCTTATATACCCTCTTCATAGTGGAGATGAAGTAGGGGAGGTAGGCAGTCTAAAGGGAGAGTAAATGATATTTAGGGACAACAAATGGGCCTGAAGAACAGTTAATAACCCAGGACAAAGTTCTTTTTGGCTCTGGGTATGGTGTCAACTCTAGTCTTCCTTCTTAGATTCAGCATCTGTCTTTCCTGGCTGATGAAATATCTGGGGCAGAGGTTCACAGTAATTGAATATCTTCTGGAGAATCTGGCCTTTAGGGTTGACAGAGAAACTTCCAGAGAAAGCCCTTCCCTGCAACTGTTGCTCACCAGGTGCTCTCAGATTGAAGTCCAAAGCAGCCTCTTTTGAAACATTATTTTCTGAGCCCCAACAGTGGGGTGAAGGGGAATTCTGGCTAAGCCAACCCAACAGGATTCTTTCTGAATGCAGGCTGAGGTGATCAGACATTAGCTGGCGATGGTAGAAGATGAACTATCAAGGATGATTGGAGATGGGGAATTCTGGCTAAACTGACTGAGCAGGATTCTTGATGAAACTAGATAATGAAGAGAAAAATGTGGAAATCCAAACGTTGACTCCTACTTGGAAAAGAGTTCAGAGGAGCCAAAGCAGTGTTTGGTCAAGGAGAGAATCTTTGTCAGTTGGATTGTCTTTGAGATTAGAAACCACTTCATTCTTTGACTTATTGATCCGTATTTATGGAGCACCTGCTACCTCTTTATTCACTGCTGAGAAAAAAAAGGGATTAAAATCTATGGTTTCTGATCTCTTATGGGAGCAGACAGGTAAGTCAAGGGACTAGTAAATTTGTGTGACAAGCCCAGTGAGCAGCAGTAGTATTAAGTAGGTAGTGTAGGCCCCTAAGAGGAATTTGGATTTGATCCTGAAGGCACTGAAGAATTTTAAGCAGGGGAGGGACATGGTAGATCTGCACTTGAACAGATGACTTTAATCATTAGTGAACAGGTTAGTTAGGTAGGAAGCAGGCATTTAGCCTAGCAGTTGAGACATCAGGGTCCCACATGGGGTGCCTGGCTTTGATCCCTAGCCTGGCCCCCGACTCCAGCTTCCTGTTACTATAAAGCCTAGGAGGCAGCAGTGATGGCTCAAATAATTGGGTTCCTGCCAACCATGTGGGAGACCTGGATTCTACCCTCTCAGCCCTTGGAGGGATTTAGGGAGTGAATCAGTGAACCGGAGTGGTCTTTCTGCCTCTCAAGTAATTTTTTTTTTTTTTAAGATTTTATGGGACTGGTACTGTGGCATAGCAGGTTAACGCCCTGGCCTGGAGTGCCCGTATCCCATATGGACATCAGTTTGAGATCCAGCTGCCCCACTTCCAATCCAGCTCTCTGCTATGGCTTGGGAAAGCAGTGGAAGATGGCCCAAGTCCTTGGGCCCCTGCACCTGCATGGAAGACCAGGAAGAAGCTCCTGGCTCTTGGCTTCAGATCGGCACAGCTCTGGCCATTGCGGCCAATTGGAGAGTGTACCATCAGATGGAAGACCCCTCTCTCTCTCTCTCTCTCTCTCTCTCTCTCTCTGCCTCTCCTCTCTCTGTGTAACTCTTTCAAATAAATAAATAAATAAATATTTTTTAAAAAAGATTTTACTTATTTATTTGAGAGGTAGAGTTACAGACAGAGGGAGAAACAGAGAAAGATCTACCATCCACTGTTTCACTCTCCAAATGGCTGAAACAGCTGGAGCTGGGCCTATCTGAAGCTAGGAGCCAGGAGCGTCTTCCAGGACACAAATCATTACCCATATGGGAAGCTGGCACCACAGGCAGAGGGTTAACCTACTAAGCCACAGTGCCAGCCCCTGAAATATTTTTTTTAATATTTAGGGGCTGGCATTGTGGCATAGCAGATTAAGCTGCTGCCTGCAAAACCAGCATCCCATATGGGCAATGGTTCGAATCCTGACTGCTCCACTGCCAATCCAGCTCCCTGCTAATATGCCTGGAAAGCAGCAGAGGATGGCTTATATTCTTGGGCCCCTGCCACTGTTGTGGGAGACCTGGATGAAGTTCCTGGCTCTGGCTCGGGTCTGGCCCAGTCCTGACCATTGCAACTATTTGGGGAATGAACCAGCAAATGATCTCTATCTCTCCCTCTCTCTAACTGTGTCTTTCAAATAAATAAATCTGTTTTTTTATATATATAATTTAAAGTTACAGGTCCAAAAAATATGAAATCTTTGGAAAATTCAGCTTAAACTTTCTTCTGGGCCGGTGCCGCGGCTCACTAGGCTAATCCTCCACCTTGCGGCGCCGGCACACCAGGTTCTAGTCCCGGTCGGGGCGCCGGATTCTGTTCTGGTTGCCCCTCTTCCAGGCCAGCTCTCTGCTGTGGCCAGGGAGTGCAGTGGAGGATGGCCCAAGTGCTTGGGCCCTGCACCCCATGGGAGACCAGGAGAAGCACCTGGCTCCTGCCTTCGGATCAGCGCGGTGCGCCGGCCGCAGCATGCCGGCCACGGCGGCCATTGGAGGGTGAACCAACGGCAAAGGAAGACCTTTCTCTCTGTCTCTCTCTCTCTCACTGTCCACTCTGCCTGTCAAAAAAAAAACCCAACTTTCTTCTGTAAAATTTTAATAATTCTAAATAAAATTCAAACAATCACCTTTATTTGTTCACTCATGATGTTTGATTAAGTCAAGTAGAAGAAAATAACTTTTCCTTAAATAATCAGTCTAGTTGCAAATTTACATTGCTTTATACATTCCAATTCCTATAAATCTAATTTAGCTGATTTGCTTCTTAATTTCAAATGCCCAAATGAACAAACTCAGAACTGTAGCAAAGATCTTCTCAGATACTTAAACAATTCTTGCAAATGGAATGAATTAAGCATATCATTATGATGGATTCAATTCACACAAACACTCTAATATCATTAAATTCTTCTGGACTGTTCACCTTATATAAGACTAAATGTGTCAGATTTTCCTGACCATTTTGAATGCTTTAGATAACAGATACATGCAGATCCTTGCACATACTACAGTGGCATGAATTTTGGCTGCTTCAGTATACCTAAAGTCTCAATTCAGATCTTGGTTTTTCTCTCAGAAATGTGAGACCTGAAGACAGTGTACATCATCTGTATTTCCTAAATTTACCCAGACACTGGGTCTGTCCTATGCACATTTTTTTTAAAATTTATTTGACAGATAGAGTTAGACAGTGAGAGAGAGAGAGAGAGAGAGAAAGGTCTTCCTTCCGTTGGTTCACCCCCCAAATGGCCGCTACGGCCAGCACATTGCGCCGATCCGAAGTCAGGAGCCAGGTGCTTATCCTGGTCTCCCATGCAGGTGCAGGGCCCAAGCACTTGGGCCATCCTCCACTGCCTTCCTGGGGGCCACAGCAGAGAGCTGGACTGGAAGAGGAGCAACTGGGACAGAATCCAGCGGCCCAACCAGGACTAAAACCCGGGAGGCAGAGAGAGGATTAGCCAGGTGAGTTGTGGCGCCAGCCAGTGTCCTATGTACATTTAGTAAAATGACTTTTGAGGATACGTATGCCCAAAAATGTAATTAAGAAATTATGAAAAGAAAGATTTTAAGAAACATTTATTTTATCATTAGATTTATCTAATTGTAGTGCCAGTGAAAACTGTTTTTAATCTTTCTAAAACTTCTATAAATTAATGTCTTTAAGTATAGATCATCTAAAATGCTGACTTTGTAAATATAAAGAATGTGACCTGATAAGAAATTTCAGGAAAAAGAGTTTTGTGTGTCAGCTGTATTGGTAAGAGAAATCACCCTCCGAGGGGACCTGTAGACTGTGGATGCCTCTGAGTAGGTGAGCTGGGCTCCGCGAGGTGAGGTGGTTCAGGCTTATTAACAAGGTGGCTGCCTCTTTTCAAACTGCGTGTGATCCTTGTTATAAATGTGTTCTCTTGCTGTTGTTATAAGTCACATGATCCTCTTTGCAAAGAACAGCATGTGCTAGAACTACAATATTATCTTGAACTGGAATTTAAATAGCTTATATTAAAGGTGATTGTTAATTCAAATAGCCTTATATTAAAGACAAATTAACTATGTTAATTCCCAGACTGTGAATTTTATGCATATTCCAGGGAGTTGCCACATACCTCCAGATATGTGACAGAGTCTTAATTTATCTTCAATATTAAAATTGTATAAAAAGAAAATATACTAATACTTGGGATTTTTGAAAAAACAGCAAATCACAAAATTAAGTAATGACAGGATGTGGCAGCTCTGAAAGGGACTTGATGCCTACGACTTAGAAATAAAGTTGAAAGTTAGAAACTAAGAGATTTTAAAATCTTAGTGTATTTATTTATTCCTGGGAATGATCCATCTAAAATTCAAAAACAACAAAATATTTTGGACTGTATGTTAAAACAAAAATTGTTAACTTTCACCCACTCACACAGGTCTGTGGATAAACTTTATAGACTCATTATTTGCCTTAAAATTTGAGAATGCTTTTTTTTTTTTTAATCCAAAGGGTTTTGGACCGACAAGGAGGAGCTAAAGAAACTGAGGCAAAGTGAAATGGTTTTCAAGCCACAGAAGAAATGGCAAGACTATGAAATGAATATGGAAAACTGGCTCAAAGCCGTGAAACGCTCCATGAATTGGTACAACAAGATGTAATCCACTGATGCTGTGGAAACCGCAGCTGGCTGATATCCATGCTGTGCACACGAGGCAAAGCTCAGGGATAACCAGAAATTAACAGTGACCTGGAAGAGATGCCAAGCAAGCTTCACAGCTTCAGAGGAAAAAGAATTGCTTTCCAAACAAAACAAAACAAAACAAAAAAACTTTTGTTTTTATCCAAAGCTTGATAAAATTATATGGCAACAATACCTCAAAACTTCGGATTTTTTTTTTCTCAAATTCCAAAGGACATTAGCCATTTCCAGCCATATTTTGATAGTTATAGGTCCTCCTCCTTGTTTGCCTTGCCTGTGGGGGATGTGTTCCAAGACCCTGGTGGATGCCGAAACCATGGATAGCACCAAAACCTATATTGCTATGGTTTTTCCTCTACACACGTGATAAAATTCAGCTAATAAATTAAGTGTGATAAGGGATTAACACTGGTAATAAAATAGAACAATATAACAATATATTGTCATAAAATTACATAAGGGAGGTCTCTCGTCTAAAATATCTCATTGTGCACTACTGACCTCCCTTTTGGTGTGGATGTGAGATGTACAGTGCGCGAGCAATGAGGTGAAGTGAGCTGAATAAGTACACACTTATGCTTCCTGGCTCTGACCTTTACAGTCTGAAGTGCAATAGCAAAAGTAGCACAAATTTCTTTTTCCTTCACAATTTCCCAGATAGAAGATTTGTTCTCACCATAGATCTTAGCAATCTCAGCATGTGGTTTTTTTCCTTTCCTTATTTTTGTTCTTTCCTAAGCAAAGGACTTTCACCTTTTTTTTTTTTTCCACTTTAAAGGAGCATTTTACAGCTTTTCTTTGGTATATCTGAAAGGCCAGCATCACTGCTCTTGCGTGTTGGGACCGTTACTGAGTAAAATACTTAAACACAAGATCTGCAGTAAAGTGACAGTGATGTGATAACCAAGACAGATAATAAGTGACTGACAAGCGGGTAGCATATACCGTGTGGATACACAGGACAACGGGATGATTGGCACAACAGTGTGGGATTTCATCATGCTACTCAGAATGGCATGCAATTTAAAACTTAAGAATTGTTTATTTCTGGAATTTTCCATGTTATATTTTTGGACTATAATTGACTACAAGTAACTGAAACCATGAAAAGTAAAACTTTGGAAAAGGGGGCCACTGTACATAGAAACATAATTGTTTACCCTCTGAACAGTGGATCAAGCACCATTCACATTTTGTTCCGAAATTAATGTGAAAAGTATTTCTTCAATTATTTAAAATTAAGTGGGCTATTTGAAGTCCATATAGGTAAAAAAGAAAGAACTGAGAAAATGTAGAATTTTGGAATATTAATATTTTATGTTTAAAGCCATAATTTTTTAATGTCATATCCAAATATGAGCCCAGCATGTCCCTCTCAGATAAATGTGTCAGTCAGTGCTTTCCTTTACTGCACTTGAAGTCACTGCCTTAATTTTTCCTTGTTCAGCCAAAATCTTTGCATTCTTTATATGTTAAAAAACTAATTTTAGTTATTGGTTCTTAAGGAATAGAAAAATATGCTTATTTTCCTTCTGAAATATTAATTCTTTCAAAAACTGTGAGGCACAAAATTCTGTTTTTTTTTTTTAACAGAATGTAAGTAGTTAACACAAATTTAGTCTCCTCTTGTCTTTTTTCTTTCTTATTGTTAGTCGTTAAAATGCTGGCATAAATGTCCTTTTTATTAAGTGCCTAACTGACAGAGCTTACTTTGAAGAAAGTGCCCTAATTTATTAGTGACTTAAGAATTGCCTTCATTGGAGAATTTGACTTGTCTGAGTATCTTCTGTTGTTGTTCAGTCTGCTCATCTCTCTGAGATGTGTGTAGAGGATAGCAGATGAGAGGTGAGGGGAATGTGTCCACGTTAATGACTGCCCTCTGGCCGCCCACCCAGAGATCCACAGCGGGGAGCTAGCTGTTGGACAGTTGGACTGTTGGACAGTCCAACATCCTCAAGCTCCCTTGCTAGAAATAACATAGAGAAGCGAGAGTTATGAGTAGCTCCAGGCTGGGGGTGAAGTTGTCACAAGGCAGGGTGACACCTTCCAATGTGTTCTACTGCCCTCTTCCCTTCCCTACATCTGCCATGGGTTCTATTTGGATTTGCAGTCAAAATTTGGTCAAGAGCCATCACATAAAGTTCTACAGTTATGAAACTAGCTATTACATAATATGTAACTAAGGGAGGGATTCTTGCAGAGAATTTTGTTGTCATATATGACAATGTCAAACAAGTATGACAGAACTAATAGTAAAATTTTCTGCAAATTCCACTTCAGAGAACCTCAATTCTTTTCTTAAATTACTGAATTTTTCTGATGGAGGCATTTTAGCAAATGTATGGTATTAGTAACTCCCATGAATTAAGATTTGGAATTATTTTATTAAATCGGAGTATTTGATAAGTCAGATAATATTCTTTTCATTCTTTCTTTTTTTTACATCTTTGCAAAGACTAATGACTAATTAAAGGCTTTCTTTTCAAAATTGTATGAAGGCTGCTCTTTTGCTTTGCTCTTTCTTACAGATTCTGCTTCTCATTGAGTGTGATTTCATAGGAAAAATTCTTTTTGTTAGAATGTACCAATTTATAACATTGATAGTGCCTAAAAGTGTGCTAGTTTATTTCTTTTCCATATTCTTCTTTCTCAACATATAACCACAACATAAAGGATAAATACTTTATTTTAAAAAGATTTATTTATTTATATATTTATTTGAGAAGCATAGTTAAAGACAGGGAGAGACAGAGAGAGAGCTCCTCCATCCGCTGATTCACTCCCCAGATGGCTGTAATGGCTGGAGCTGGGCTGATCCGAAGCCAGGAGCCAGGAACTTCCTCCAGGTCTCCCACGTGGGTGCAGGGGCCCAAGCACTTGGGTCATCTTCCACTGCTTTCCCAGGCCATCAGCAGGGAGCTGGATCAGAAGTGGAGCAGCCAGTACTTGAAGTGGTACCCATATGGGATGTTGGCGCTGCAGGCAGAGGCTTAACCTACTATACCACAGCGCTAGCCCTGATAAATACTTTTCAGACAGTGTGAGAAAATAACTTTGAGTGTCTCTCACTGGACTTAAGCAGCCCCTCAAAAATCTGTAGCTAATTTCTTGTCTTCTGTGAATCTATAAACTAATCTTTTACTTTTAATATTTCTAGCCAATATTAGTGACAGTTCAGCAAATCCTTTTTTCAGATTTAACCATGATCAAAAACATCATCACATTTGCTTTTATGGTTCCAGAAAACATTGTAATCAAAATCAGCTAAGGAGAAAAATTATCCTTATCATCTTTCAAGTTTATTTTTTATTTGTGCACTACTATTGGAAGTTTCAAACAATGTATGCTAATATTTCTTAGCATGTTCTATTTTCCCTGTATGAAAATATCAGATAGTTTTAGGAAGTCTCCAGATATCTCACCCTGGAGGAGAATGTTCCTGTATAATCCATCTTAAAATGGACTAAAATTTTGTTTGCACTATAGATTTAACTGATTTTTAAATCTTTTCTATCTGACCAACATAAGATTTTCCAATTTCAGCACTGACATTCAGTTGAATAATTCTTTGTTCTAGAGGGCATTATAGGATGTTTAGCAGTGTCCATGACCTCTGCCCTCCAGCTCCCCCTAGTTATAACCAAAAAGGCCTCTAAGCATTGCCACCCTGGGATACAAGATCACCCCCAGATGAGAGCCAGTGATAGAAGAAAATGGAAGACACAGTGAATATAGAGTCACATTCTTTTTCTCTGTTTTATTTTACCTTAGGAAATGGTTTAAGAGGTGGTAGTAGTATGTTAAAATAAATAGGGTTTCTGCTTTGCTAGTTAATAAGGAAAAAAAAATCTGATGTTGCAGTTATGTCTTCTGATGTTTTATCTACCCACCCCCAGCCCTACCTTTGCACACTGTGATCTTACTTAGTAGGTTCATGACTTCAGTATAGTATTTAGGGTTTAGGGTTAGGGTTAGGGGTTAATGTATTCTGCAGATTGTCTTTGACTTGATCTGCTTTTTTACTTCATTTTTAACTGGGAATAAAGAGGGTGATCACTCTCTTTCATCTGCCTTCTGTATAAACCCTCGCCAGACTGGAAGCTCCTTGAAAGCAGAAATCGTGTCTGCATTCCCAGAACCAAACACTGTGCCTTCCTGTTTGTGGGATCCATTTTTACTTTGTAAGTGCAACTTTGTTTGCATACACGTTTTGTTCCTGACGTTCCTGGTCGTTTGTTAGAAGTGAACTAGGTCAGTGAGTGATTGAGAAGGACTACTTTGCTATGACAGCTAGAATCCTCGTGTTGTTTATTTAAAAATTCTTCATGTGTTTATATGTCTGCAAGTGCATTTCTCAGAGAGACACATCCACAAATCGCTTAGTTTATGTGTTTGACTGTGGGTAACAAACAAGAGATTGAATCTTCCGGATGCCAAACAAGCTGGTACTATAGGAAGGAAAAGGCAGAAGGAGCCCCTTCTGTGGGGGACGTATATGCGGGAGACCAAGCTTTAACCCCAAGTGGCAGGAATTTTATAGTTCCGAGGGGAGATACAGCCATCTCCTGGCATTCTTAGACTTGGAGTCAAGAGTCATCTACAGACAGCCTAGACAGTTTAAATATACCATAATGGATTCTGAATCCCTTTGGAAACCTGGATCACGTTTCTCCATTGAAGTTAAAGACCCCAAACCCACCTCAGACCTCTGAGACCTACTTGGTTCCAGAATTATCTCAAAATAGCAAAAGCCAGGTCATCTGTTCAAACCATTCAAAATAGGTGATGCCAAAACATCCGACAGGCGATCCAGAATCATGTTGTTTTTGTAAGTTTGGGGGCTTCATAGCCATAAATATTTTGGCACCAGCGTCTATTGTAATTCACAGGCTCTGTAGTCTCTACGTTCCCGTGAGATGCTTGTCCCTGGAGGAATGCAGGAATGGGAACAGGAGACAGGAGCCTGCAGAATCACTTATTTATGAAATTCCCTGCTACTCTGTTTCCCCTCCTTTGACGCTTTCCTAAATTTAGTCTGTTATAAAATGGCTGTGTCTAGACAGATATCGGTGTTGTTTAGGGGGAAAAAAATGATACAGGAACTCCAATTTAAATGAGCCTTATCTTTATAAGAAACTGCCAAACTGGTTTTCCAAGTGGCTTGTATCATTTTCTCCGCAGCAGTGTATGATGGTCAACTTTCTCCACTTCCTCACCAGCATTGATGTCACTGTCTTTTATTTTAGTCATCTGACAGTGATATCTCATTGTGGTTTTAATTGTATTACTGTAATATGATGATATTGAACATCTTTTCATATATCTTTTTGCCATTTATTTATCCTCTTCTGTGAAATTTCTGTTTATATCTTTTGCCTGTTTGCTAATTGGATTGTTTGTTAAATGAGCCATATCTTAAAATATCCTTTTTAAAGTTTTTTAAATCAGTCCAGTGACTTAAGAAATCATTAAAAGGTTTTTCAAATCCTTCTAGGTAAAATATGTATAGTGTTTGAACATGATTTTTTAATCTGAGCAGAAGAATTCTTGTATTCCTTGTGTGGTACTAATACTGTGTAAAGTTTCAAAGATACCTTTACTTGGAATGTTAAGCAGAATGTACAGATATATACATTGTACATGGCTACCAGAATGTTTCTAATCTTTTTTATTTAAAATAAGTGATTTAAGGGGTCAGAATGACTGTGAAAAATTAATTAAAATTTTTCCTATTTGTGCAACATGGGTAAATGTAGAATCCTATTCATATGGATTCATATATTCTTATTTCTCTGGTGTTCTTTAATTTCATAGTTTTATTAAGTAGTCATTGAGAACCTCATAAATTGCAATCGTTAAGCTCTGTAGATAAAAATCAAGGATGCTCAGCAGTTGAAATAAATATTTTTCTATGCATGTGAATTTTTCCCTTAGGTTTTTGTGTACTTTAAATTTTAAATGTAAAAAAGAAATTACTTGGACATTTTTATTACTATTTTCTGTTTGGGTTTCTGCACATTAAGAAAGTCACAAAAATAAGCATATGTTAACTACAATTCTACCCTGAGATAAATTTATGCTTAATATAGTTAGAGAAGAAGAATTTTATGAAAGCTTCCTCTTAAGGCTCATTATTCTTTATATATAACATTTTTGCATAAAGGAAACTACTAAAGAAGAGGGTTAGTTCTTTGTGGTGAGGAAACCATCAGATGCTGTGAAATATATTGTACTTTTAAATATTTAAGAAGACAAGAACTAGAGGAAATGTAATTTCATGTACTAATATGAAAGTAGTCTAGCGGCTATTAAAAATCACTTCTGAAAATTATTATTGAAAAGTATTTGGGGAACTGCAATGAAATGGCGCATGATTGACCTATACATGTGGGTCTATTAAAGCTGTTTTTACTTCCTGTTCCTCTCTTCATTGCTGTGCAGGAACACACATTTCCAGTGACCTCCATATGCTGGAAGACACAGCAGGTGGTCTGGATCCCCTGCCCTGGCTGCAGTGGAGTCTCCTACTGTTTCTAAGTCTATGGGGTCATTTTGTAGTAGGAAATTTGAAGAATGATAAACAGTGAATTAATTATTTGAAGAAAGGAAGGGATTTAAAAAAAAAAAACTATTTATTTGAAAGAGTGACAGAGAGAGGGGACAGGCATGGAGACAGAAGAGAGATCTTCCATCTGCTGGTTCACTTGACAAATGACCACAAAGGCCAGGGCTGGGCCAGACCAAAGCCAGGAGCCAGGATCTCCCATGTGGGTGACAGGCTCCCATGCACTTGAGCACTTCCCAGGCGCATTAGCAGGGAGCTGGATCAGAATCCAAGCAACAGGAACTCGAACTAGTGCACCAATATGGGTGCAGCAGCTTATCCCACTGTGCCATAACACTGGCCCTTTTTTAAAAATTATTTGCAAGACAGACACACAGAGAGGCAGCAGAACAAGGTCCCATCTGCTGCTTCACTCATAAAATGTTTGCAATAACTGTGACTGGAATTTTGCTCTACATGAAAGCTAAGAAGTGAGTCTCCCATAGTTTCATGGGTAGTGACTAAAGATATGAGACTCTTGGGTCAGAGACTAAGAACATTACTACTTGGGGCCCAGTGCTGTGGCATAGCAGGTTAAGCCACTGCAACAATATGAGCGCCAGTTCGAGTCCTGGCTACTCCACTTCTGATCCAGCTCCCTGCTAATGTGCCTGGGAAAACAGCGGAAGATGACCCAAGTTCTTGGGCCCCTTCACCCATGTGGGAGACCTGGAAGACGATCTTGGCTCCTGGCTTCAGTCTGGCCCAGCCCTAGCTGTTGTGGCTATTTGGGGAATGAACCAGCAGATGAAAGATCTCTCTATAATAAAGATGTCTCTCTCTGTGTGCATCTCTGCCTTTCAAATAAACAGATAAATCTTAAAAAGAAGGAAAGAAAGAAAGAAAGAAAGAAAGAAAGAAAGAAAGAAAGAAAGAAAACTTGGCATAGCCAAGTATTAATTGTCTTCGCACGTACATTGGGTCTTCATGCCTCCCAAGTCCAGGTTGATGCTGTACGTGGTGTGTGTGGTACAGCTTAGGAAACCTGACTTTTTCTGCAATGGGTTGGAAGTGCCCAATGCTTGCTTCAGAAATAATCACTTTTCTTATATTAACGCTTATACAAAATTGCCCTCTGCTCTGAAGGAAGACATCATCTCCATCCTTTTTTTAAAAAAAAAATAATTTATTTATTTTAAAGAGTTACATAGAGAGAGGAAGAGAGAGAGAATCTTCCATTGACTGGCTCACTTCCCAAATGGCCACAACAGCCAGGGCTGGGTCAGGCCAAAGCTAGGAGTCAGGAGCTTCCAGAGCTCCCACTTGAGTGCAGGGGCACAACCAAGTACTTGGGCCATCTTCTGCTTTCCCAGGCGCATTGGCAGGAAGCTGGATTGGAAGTGTGGGATGCCAGCATGCAGGCGGTGGCTTTACCCCCTTATGCCACAATGCCACCACCCACCCCCACCATCTCTATCGTAATTACTGCAAAGGCTACAGTGCCTCTGGCTTGCAAAAAAGCCAGAAACGAGAGACCAGTGTAGGATTGTCTCACAACAGTAAATTCATTTTCCTTGGTGTGGCCATGCTTTCATGGATGTGTATGTACATCAAAACTCACCACCGTGCTTGCTGTAAGTAGGCACAGTTCTGTCGCTTACTCAGTACAACTGGGACAGTGTCTCGCTATTCACATATGTTGTTGGAACCTGTAGTCTAGACAGTCCCTCCATGCTTTTCAGGAAAAGAACGGTAGGCCTCATCCCAGATCTCCTGAATGAGAATCTGTATTTTGATAAGACTCCCCAATAGTTTTAACTTTTATTTTGAAACAATTATAGACTTAGAGAAGAGTTACATGAACAGTAGAGTTCCCCCTTCACCCAGCTTTCCCTGATCAATATCTTGTCTAACCATAGTATTTTTATGTACAGAGCTGTCTCTTACCTTCCATTGACTTGTTCTTCGATTTTTTAAAAAGATTTTATTTATTTATTTGAGAGGCAGAGTTACAGACAGACAGAGGGAGGGACAGATCTTCCATCCATCGGTTCACTCCCCAAATGGCCCCAATGTCTGGATCTGAGTCGATATGAAGGCAGGAGCAAGGAGCTGCTTCCTGGTCTCCCACGTGAGTGTAGGGGCCCAACCACTTGGGCCATCCTCCACTGCTTTCCCGGGCCATAGCAGAGAGCTGGAATGGAAGAGGAGCAGCCGGGACATGACAACCATGCCCATGTGAGATGCCAGTGCTGCAGTGGAGGCTTAGCCTGCAATGTTACAGCACCGGCCTCTAAATAAATACTTTCTAAAAACTCCTGGAAAATACATGCTATGAAGGATTTAATGGATTTCAAAATTTCTGCACCAAAATAAAATTAGCTTATAATACCGTTTTCCACAAACTTTGAAGTACTCTTGTATTGTTTGGTGATGCACGTGTCTTAAAACTACAAAGAAAAATAAGGAAATTCTGGACAAAATTCCAGATGTTATCTGGGGAAGAGCAAGATGGAAGGGCACAGGGGTAGGAGCAGGTGTGGCTCCCATGGGGTTAATATCCTGGTGCTTCAGCTGTGCACGTGGGCTCCTCATTTTAGGCTTCGCACTTACTTGATTACTTTTCTCTGTGTGTGTTTTGTTGTTGTTGTGTTTTTTGTTTTTTTTGTTGTTTGTTTGTTTGTTTGTTTTTGACAGGCAGAGTGGACAGTGAGAGAGAGAAAGACAGAGAGAAAGGTCTTCCTTTGCCATTGGTTCACCCTCCAATGGCTGCCGCAGCTGGCGCACTGCGGCCGGCGCACCACACTGATCCGAAGCCAGGAGCCAGGTGCTTCTCCTGGTCTCCCATGGGGTGCAGGGCCCAAGCACTTGGGCCATCCTCCACTGCACTCCCTGGCCACAGCAGAGAGCTGGCCTGGAAGAGGGGCAACTGGGACAGAATCCGGTGCCCCGACCGGGACTAGAACCAGGTGTGCCGGCACCGCAAGGCGGAGGATTAGCCTATTGAGCCACGGCGCCGGCTTCATTACTTTTCAGGAGGAATAAAATATCTTATAAAAGCCTTTAGGTCTGGGCCTTTAAGGAGGGGCTGCTTTCATTAGGGTGGCTGTGATGTTGTCCTGCTGGCGTGAGGCAGTCATTCTGGGAAGGAGCTGGGGAGAGGTGGTTTTCCCTCTCCAAGGAAATTCTAGGGCTTGGATTCAACCCTTCCTGATTCAGATGATCAAACCACACCTAAGGGGGCTTCCTCTGGAAGACAAGACCCAGACTGAACACTTCTCTTGCAAAGTGTTCTTTTTTTGTCAGTCAGTGGATGGATTCAGTGTGAAAAGAGGATGCCTTTTTTTTTTTTTCAGAAAAATAAAATCATATCTTGAACTGTTCTGACAACTACCAGTGTTTTTGTGTGATAAAAAGGTGTCACTGGGGCCAGTGTTGTGGCACAGCAGGTTAAGGCCCCAGCCTGCAGCACCAGTGTCCCATATAGGCACCTGTTCAAGTCCTGGCTACTCCACTTCTGATCCAGCTCCTTGCTAATGCACCTGGGGAAGCAGCGGAGGATTGCCTAAGTCCTTGGGCCCCTGCACCCGTGTGGGAGACCTGGAAGAAGCTCCTGGCTCCTGGCTTCAGATTGGCACAGCTCCGGCCGTTGCAGCCTTTTGGGGAGTGAATCAGCGGATGGAAGGCTTCTTAGTCTCTACCTCTCTCTGTAACTCTGTCTTTCAAATAAACAAAATAAATCTTTAAACAAACAAGAAAGGTGTCACTACTGTTACTCGAAGTGTGGTGTGTAGCTGGTGAGGCAGCTGTCGCTCATGTGGGGAGACCTGGATTGAGTTCCCGGCTCTTGGTTTCAGTCCCAGTCCAGCTCTGGTTGTTATTTATTTGAAAGGCAGAGCTACAGAAAGGCAGAGGGGGAGAGGGAGAGAGGGAGAGAAGTCTTTCATATGGCTGGTTCATTCCCCAAATGAATGCAATGGCCAAAGCTGAGGTGATTGAAGCCAGGAGCCAGAAGCCTCTTCCAGGTCTCCCACGTGAGTGCAGGAACCCAAGGACTTGGGCCATCTTCCACTGCTTTCCCAGGCCACAGCAGCGAGCTGGATCGGAAGTGGAGCAGCTGGGATCTGAACCGGCACCCATATGGGATGCCGACACCGCAGGCAGCGGCTTCTCCCGCTACATCACAGCACCGGCCCCTTGAAAGTCTCTTAAGCACTGAGGGTACAGTAGTGAATGGGAGGATACAGCTGTGCCTCTGACCGACCTTACAGTTTGATGGGATACCAAACCAGTAATTATCAGTTTAAATAAATGTCAGAAAGACAAATGGAATTTTACTAGAAAAAAGCTGGAGATGGGAAGTCAGGGGAACCTTTTTCCTTTTTGGGGTGAAGCGTTGTTTAGGTAAGAGGCAGGGGAAGCTGAATTGTGGGAGAATTGGAGATTGTTCCAAAGACAAGGAAGGAATACTCTTTGGATACTTGTGTTTGGATTTCCAATGCCTTGCACAGTTTTGGGCTTACAATAGGCACTTAATAAGTGTATGCTGCATCAATAAGCATTTCGGCACATTTCAGCCATCTACTCTCTGGCACTGGAGATGGTGGACGCTGTGTGTTCCTTTCCAAAAGAATTAAAATCCTTAATGGGGAAGTGAGAGGAGAGACAGAGAGCTGACTGTTGTACAAATTGCTAAATTGGAACTATGAGTGGGAATTAAAAATGGATTTACATGAATTTTCTTCCCAGTGGCAACTCAACAATTTATTCTGTGCTGGAGAATTTTCAGTTTTTGGCCTCAAAGCCAAGCTGTTCCTCTGTCTTCTGAATTTCTTGGCCTGCTGTGAAACTAGCATTTACTGTCTTTTACAGCATCTCCTGATTAGGTCATGGAAATTCACAGCTAGATCAAACTAGTCAATGGAAAATTTGAAGCTTTCACTGCCTATTAGACTTTGTGGCATTGGAAGGTGTTATGAAACATTGACTTTGAAATCATTTCTCAACAGTAATATTATAGAATGATCATAATAATTGCTACCACTTACTGAACACTTACTGTACACACTGTTTAGCAAAATGCTCTCAATTAACTCTGCTAGAGTAAGCTGAACTCTATGAAAATAGGCAAATATCAGCAATTTCATTGGATTCAACTTAATGTCATCTTCAGGGTCTCACCTACAAAGAGGTTAGGGAATTCCTCCTGGCCATTGCCTTACTCCAAAATTTAGCACTAAGTTTGCTATGTAATAAAGAGACCCTTGGCTACAGCGCCTCAACAGCACCCACCTCTCTCCACCTTAACCGAGGCACTTTCTGGGTCTTCTTCCGTGAAGGTGTTTTGCACACCATATTGGGGTGGTTTATGAGCTGTGCCCCCGCTACACTGAGTTCCCTGAACTGAGTGGGAGTGTCCGCAGGCTTGCTCATTGTATCTCTAGTGGTAAGAGTTTTTTGTTGTTGTTGTTGTTTGTTTGTTTGTTTGTTTTTAATTGAGTTGAATACATCTACTAGATTTTTTGTGAAAACTAAAGAATTCCTTCTGGATTTGTGGCTGAAAAATGTAATCACTCCTCTGGGGATCTGCATGTCACAGTCAATCAGCAACAGGCAGCATCCGGCATTCTTGGACTCCGAGGACTTCACCTCCCTACTGTGATGTGGCAGGCCAGTGTCTCGCCACCGCACCCAGATCCAAAGGTGATCTCCTGTCTCCCTCAAGTCCTTTATGTGTTTACTTAAACGCGTCCTTAGGATCTCCTTCCCTGTCCACCATGCTTAAGGCTGAAGCCATCCCTCCCACACACACTCTGCTTACTGTTTTTCCACAGCTCAGATCAGCAGGTAGCATCGTTTTTATTTGGCTTATTTCTTTAGCTGTCGTCTTTCCCACCGCACTAGAATGCGGGCTCCACGAACGCAGTTTTTGTCTCTTTTTGTTCACAGAGGTATCTCCAGCACCTGGAACAGTGTTCCGCACGTGGGCGATTTATAAAATTTGAGCAGAGCGAAATGAGAAAGGCCTATCGTTGCAACACTGTGCCCTCACGCCTCACTCCATCAGCAGGGCAGCTCCCATCTCTCTCTCCTCTCTCAACCTCCACAGCGCGGTCCACGCGGAATTTTCCAAATCAGCAGAAAACGAACAGACACAATCTTGTAACGCTAACCTACCGACCCTACAGGAAGGTGTCTGGGGAAGCGGGCAGCCCCGGGGCAAGGCGGCCTGGCTTTGTGTGGATCCTAACTCGCCTGGCTAGGGAAGAACCTCCAACTCCCCAGGAGTCTCTCACTCATCGAATACTTTCAAGGCGCTCCACGGCTGGCCCCAAGCACTGCCTCACCGCTTACTCCCGCGACTCCTCAAATGCGAAGGATCCAGATGCACCTGCCCCACTTCTCCCGCCTCTCAAACAGCTGCGATCTTCCTGCTTCGTGGGCGGACCTCGTGGGGGAGTTAGGAGCGAGAGGGAAGGGCGTGTTTCTAAACTTTAGGCTTCAGGCCTACAGCTTGTCCAGCAATCGGAGCTGGAACCAAGAGCCCGGGCCACCGCCACCTACCCTTTGGGCAGCCCGGGAGAAACTTCAGGGGTCGGAGCGCGGCGCTTAAAGGCTCCGCCTCTTCTTCTCGTGCCCCCTCCCATCATTGGGCAGCCTGGGGGCGGGGTTTGTTTACTCTTTGCACGCACCGCCGGGCCTGGCCAATCCGTGAGGAGCGGCGCCCTACGTCACGCCTCTCACCGGCCAATGGACGTGCATCGTGCTGCTCCGCCGCCAAAGCTCGCGCGGGGGAAGCGGGGAGGCCGCCGAGCCGAGTGCGGGCTGACGAAGTCGGCAGCGCTTTCGGCTGCAGCGCGGCCGCTGTCCGGCACGCGGGGCGCGCCCTGACCGAGCCCTGAGGGCGCGCGCGGGCGCGAGGTCGGCGTGCCGGGGCCTCGAACTCCTGGGGGCCTCGACCGGGGCAAGGCCGCGGCTGCCTGGGTGGGAGTCCCCCGGGACCCGGGCGCCAGAGGATCGGCGGCGCCCGAAGACGAGCCCCCGGCTCGGCCCTGCAGCCTCGCGCGGCCGCCGGGTCCTCTGCAGCCGAGCGGCGGTAAGGTCCGGGGCGAGGGCGCGGGCCCGCGTGCCGAGGGCCTCTGGACCCGGCCCGGCGCGCTGCCTACGCCGGGGGACCCCCGGGAATCCCACGGGCTCCTCAGGCCTGGCGGAGTAACCCTTGAGTGTCCGGGCGAGACTGGGCAGGCAGGGAGGTCACCCTTCCTCGCGCAGCCTGCAAACTGGGGGAGGTGAGGTCCCTGAGTCACGCCTCGGCGAGGCGGGCAGAGGGTGTCTTCCCCCTTCCCGTCCTGGCCGTAGGGAGCGATGGCTTCGGGTTCTGGCTGCTGACTTTGCCCCCTGCTTCGCGACCCCCCGTCTGCCTCCGCCAGGGTTTCGTTGTTGTTTTTAAGAGTTGGGAGGCTTTGTGTGTACCTGTGCCCCGTAAGGGAACTTTGGCATTGCTCTGTGGGCCCAGACGGCTGGAGAAATCCCGGAGAGCCGAGGTGCCCGTCCGCCGGGCAGCGGCAGGGTTTGGGTGGGACCGCGCCGAGACGCCGCGCGCTCGCGTTGTGAGGTCTCCGTCTGCTCGAGCTGGGGGACCTCGGCGTGGGCGCCGCCGCCGAGGGCAGTCTGGGGCCGCCTGGGTCAGGGACGCCCGGGGCGCGAGCTCGCCGCCCGGCAGCGCAGGGCACGAGGTGGGCACCCTCGCTTCTGACTGCCGCGAGCGCGGGTTCGCGAGAGGATCCTTTTCTCTGCCCCTTGCCCACTCACCGCCGAAGCTCCGCCGAAGCCCGGAACGCTCTCCTCTTCCGTTTCCCTCGCAGACGGCTCAGACGCCCTCTGCCACCTGCTTGCTTGCTTCAGTGGGTGCGTGGCTCCTTCTCCCCCATCTCCCCTCTCCCCCCATCTTCCCTCTTCCGCCTTCTCCCCTCTCCCCCAGATCTTAGTTTCATGACTTTTCCTTTGATTTCTATTACCTAATTTTTTCTGGGTCACTTGTTTTTCTTTTCTCTTAATGGTTTCATCTTAGTCATTTTGCCTAATAAATATAATTGGAATTATTCACCTGTTCTCTAAAAGGACATAATCATGACCCTACCTGTCTCTGTTCAGAATCAGAGTAGTTGAATCTGTGTTGCATCTTGCTGTTCCATGTCGTTGGCTGGCCTATGGTTTAGCGAAAGCTTTATCGCTATCACATTACTATAATTAATCTTTAATGACAGTGTCCACTCTCAAATAGCACCAGGAGAAAAATCAAATACCCAGACCCCAGATTCTATCGCACTTGGGCACTGGCACTGGCTGTGTTTGTTGTGTGGTAGAACATCTTGTGCCTGGAACTGGTCTGGTCTAATGGCAGCCATCATGGCTGGGAGCACTGCCCTGGCATACAGTTGCAGCAGTGTGGTACTTGTACAGAAAGGCCCAAGACTTACTCAACTCTTATTTTCGAGTTCTCTTTGTTTCTAGTTGTTTGTTTAAGAAGGAAAGCTGAATTTCGCTAGTGTGTGGCATGACCATTTTGTGATCATGCAGTTGTACCCCCCCCCCACCACAGACCCCTTCTTTGGAATGTGTAGCACAGTGAAGTATTCGCACTGTGGCCAAAATGCTTATCTGGGCTCTGTGCTTTTAGTGTGACTTGAAATGGAGTTTATACCCCCTGTAAGCCATCATCACTTAAATGCTTATTGTAACATGTATCATAGTAAATCTCAGAGGAATCTAGAAAACATAAGTTGAGAGTTCTTTGAGATCAGAATTTTAAGTTGTAATAGATTTTAAAGATTATTAAATTGTTAATATATCAATTCATACTTGAGTCTTTTCCATTTTAATCTGGGATCCGTAACACTCTAGTATATTTAGAAGTAGATTTGTGAACCCTTAGAAACTTTTTTTTTTAAAGATTTATTTATTTATTTGAAAGACAGAGAGAGAGGTCTTCCATTCACTGGTTCACTCCCCAATTGGCCGCAACAGCCGGAGCTGCATTGATCCAAAGCCAGGAACCGGGAGTTTCTTCCGGGTCTCCTGTGTAGGTGCAGGGGCCCAAGGATTTGGGTCATCTTCTACTGCTTTCCCAGGCCGTAGTGGAGAGCTGGATCAGAAGTGGAGCAGCCAGGACTCGAACTGGCGTCCATATGGGATGCTGGCACTGCAGGCAGCAGTTTTACCCGCTACGCCACAGCACTGCCCCCCCCCCTAGAAATTTTCTGCAAAATTACGTACATTTGCATGTTTTTATGAAGACATGTTCATAATTTCTGAGGCAAAGGTATTTGGACAACTTGTTTTTTTTTTTAAAGATGTATTTATTTGTTTAAAAGGCAGAGTGCAGAGAGAGAGGGGAGAGATCTTCCATCTGTTGGTTCACTCCCAAAATGGCTGCAATGGCCAGGGTGGAGCCAACTCAAAGGGGGGAGCCAGGAGGCTCATCCAGGTCTCTCATATGGGTGGCAGGGCACCAAGCACTTGAGCCATCTTCAGCTGCTTTGCTAGGTACATTAGCGGGGAGCTGGATCAGAAGTGGAGCAGCCAGGACTCAAACTGGTGCCTCATATGGGATGCCAGCGTCACAGGTGCTGGCTCCAACAACTCTTAAGTTTTATAAAATAGTGGGGCCAGCACCGTGGCTCACTTGGTTAATCCTCCGCCTGCGGTGCTGGCATCCCATATGGGCGCAGGGTTCTACTCCTGGTTGCTCCTCTTCCAGTCCAGCTCTCTGCTGTGGCCCGGGAAGGCAGTGGAGGATGGCCCAAGTGCTTGGGCCCTGCACCCGCATGGGAGACCAGGAGGAAGCACCTGGCTCCTGGCTTCGGATCGGCGCAGCGCCGGCTGTAGCGGCCATTTGAGGAGTGAACCAACTGAAGGAGGACCTGTCTCTCTCTCTCTCTCTCTCACTGTCTATAACTCTACCTGTCAAAAAAAAAAAATTCTTTTACTCAACTGGAAGTCGCATTGTCACTGCGTATGTTCTGTCTAACTTCTGTATTGTGGCTTTTCAACTATTTGAAGATACTTATCATTTTCTACTCTTCTGTTCTTTGGGCAAGTGTTCTCTCTCAGTCTTTCACCTCTTCTGATAACTTCTCTATCTTTGTTTTCATTTGAAAACCCGGTCACAGCACTGGGGGCTTGCTCATTGGAATTGTTTTAATTCATCTGTCTTTGTCTTCAAAGCATTACACCGCAGGCAGGTGGTAACTAGTAACAGGAGACCATTAACTTACTTCCCTGGTTTTAAAGCAGAGTAGGTTTGCTGCTTTGGCAACCACATCCTGCTGTTAGTTCATAGTAACTGTTGTGTTAGCTTTCCTGGATTTACATTCTAGCTCTACAGTTTATTAGCGGGTTGACTTTGAATATATTACGTAAACATGGTAAGTCTTGGTTTCCTCATCTATAAAATGATGTTAGTAATAGTACCTATTTCATATGGTTACTGAAAGGATGGATGTATATGTGTAAAGCATTCAAAATAGTCTGTGGCATCTCAGTGCCATGTATATATATATATATATATATTCACTGTATATGTTCATATATATGTTACCTGTTGGTATTGATTTTGTAATCAACTGAAATTCTTGAATTTTTTTTTATTTTAAGATTTATCATTTAATTGAAAGGCAGAATTACAGAGAGAGAGAGAGAGAATGAATCTTCCATCTGATGGTTCATTCCCCAAATTGCCACAACAGCCAGAGCTGGGCCAGTCTGAAGCCAGCAGCCTAGAGCTTCTTCTGGGTCTTCCACATGGGTGCAGGGGCCCAAGGACTTGGGCCATCTTCTGCTGCTTTCCCAGGGATGTTAGCAGGGAACTGGATCAGAAGTGGAGGAACCGGCGCTCCAACCAGTGCCCATAGTGGGTGCCGGAACTGTGCCACCACTCCTCTTGAATTTTGTACAGGCTCTGCCAACTCTTGAAGTTGTGTTCTCCCATTTCTTTCTTTTCTTTTTTCTTTTCTTTTCTTTTCTTTTCTTTTCTTTTCTTTTCTTTTCTTTTCTTTCTTTCTTTCATAAATGCAAAATTCATGTCCCCATTTAATAATCAAATATGTCTACCACATTCAAACTGCTACCCAGAATAATTTTCAGAAGACACTTAATTCATTTGAAGAATGTTTCTGCCTTAACAGTTCACAGCAAGGATAGATATGGGTCTCCAATTGCCACCACATTCGGCCTTGCTTTTTCATTTTTTTCCCCCAAAGAAACCTTTTATTTAATGAGTACAGATTTCATTAGTACAATTTTAAGAATATAGTGATTTTCCCAACATACCTGCCCTCCCACCCCACTTATTCCACCCTCTCCCATTCCCAGTCTCAATTAAGAAACAAACAAAAAACCTGTAACTCGACAATCAAAACAGGGGCTGTTCAAGTAATTGCTTCTCAAAGTGTCAATTTCATTTCTACAGATTTCCTTTTAGGTGCTCTATTAGTTATCACAGATCATGGAGAAAATATGGTATTTGTCCCTTTGGGACTAGTTTATTTCACTAAGTATGATGTTTTCCAGATTCATCCATTTTGTTGCAAATGACCAGATTTCATTTTTTTAACTGCTGTGTAGTAGTCCATAGACTACATATCCTATAATTTTTTTATCCAGTCTTTCATTGATAGGCATTTAGGATGATTCCATGTCTTAGCTATTGTAAATTGAGCTGCAATAAACATGGGAGTACAGATAACTCTTTCATATGCTGATTTCATTTCCCTTGGGTAAATTCCCAGGAGTGGGATGGCTGGGTCATATGGTAGGTCTATATTCGGATTTCTGAGGTATCTCCAAACTGCCTTCCATAGTGACTTCTATAGTGGTTTTACCAGTTTGCATTTCCACCAACAGTGGATTAGGGTATCTTTTCCTCCACATCTTCTCCAGCATTTGTTGTTTGTTGATTTCTGTATGAAAGCCATTCTAACTGGGGTGAGGTGAAACATCATTGCGGTTTTGATCTTCATTTCCCTGATGGCTAATTATCCTGAAAATTTTTTCATGTATCTATTGGCCATTTGGATTTCCTCTTTTGAAAAATGT